AAATTGAAATCGATTTTAGAATACCCTTCTAATATATTTGCAGATCATTTCCATATCGCGGAATACTCCTGACTGTATTTACTATTTTCTTCATTATTTACTTTATTTTCTTACTCTTGATTTTTACTTTATTTAGTTGCCAGTTCAAAATTAAAACTATAATATTCAAAATAAATCAAATATTAATTTAACTTTTACAAATTACTTTTAAATCACAAATATAAATGAGCTTTAGTCACTCTGGTAGACTTAATTTACAAATAATTATATTATTATAATATTATTTCTAAGTCTCTAGTATTAATATCTATTTTTTAGATATGAGGTTTTCTTTTATATATATTAATCTTATAAAGAAACTTAATTGAATTTCAATAAAGTTAAAAGTATAGCCTTATTATAAAAATTAAAAAAAAGATAATTTATTGTCTATATATTTGTTATATTTCTTGTCTATTTTATTATAATATATAATTATCTAAAAAGAATAATAAATATTGCCAATTTTTGAAAGAAATAAACTAATTGTTTACTTTTTGTAAATAATAAAAAAAACTAGAATAAAAAAAAAAATTAAGTTTAACCAGAGTGTTTTTAAATTTTTTTTTTTAATTTTAATAAACTTTTAATAAAATTTGGTTACTTGTTACCAGAACTTTTTTTGGCTTGAATATTAAATATTAATCAGATCAAAGTTTAATCCCAATATATATTATTACAAAATATATCCACATCTCAATGTTTTATATCTTGTAAGTATAATTGGTACAAACTTTGTTTAAAAAATAATTCTTATATTCAAATATATTTTAACAAAATTTGAATAAATTTAATTAAATAATTAATCTAAAATAAATTTTTCTGTACTAAATTTAGTATAATAGCCAAATAGTTACCTATTAATTAAAAATTTTTTTGCTTAATTTTTTTTAATTTTAATATTTTTAATTAGGTTTATACAAATAAAATTATAACTACTTCTAGCACCACTTCTATAGTTAACAAGAAAACGCAATTTTTATAAAAATTTAACGCAGTTTCATTTAAACAACTTTTATTGTTACAACGGCTAACATATAAGTTGATTTCTAATTATCGTAAAATACAATATTTTTTTTAAAAAAAAAAAAAAAAAAAGAAAAAAACCCGGAACTGTTCCCACCTTTATATATATATATACCAAAATAGTACAAAATAAATATATTTTAAATCCAAGCCTGACAAGTTTTATAAGTTATTTCTAAATTTCAGAAAAATTTAATTTGAAATAATTTTATGGATTTCAAGATGCTGATTCTTGAGCATTTTCAGTATATGAGTATTCTATCGGAGGTGGAAGAAGGGCCACGACCTAAAATTAATGCAATTGTAATTTAAAATGGCTTATAAAACAATAAAAGCACTCGGATCAAACTTCAATTATCTTTTTTTTCCTTCACATCTTTATAATTTTCAGTATACCTTCTCATGTGTTTCTAAGGTTTCCAACTTATCTTCTCCAGATTTGATTTTTGCGGCTAACTCAGGTTCAGAATTAACAACTTCTTTTAATACGGACTGAAATTTTTTATATAATGAATCTTCTGCGGTGATGTTATCGGGAGCTAAAAAGTAAACACCTTTCTCTAAATTGTCGGAGATTTCCACTAAGTCAAATAACCAAACAATCTGAGTAAACAAGCTTTCTAGATTCAATAATTTTATAGATTACTAAAGGTGAACGTATAAGAAACGCGGCATTTACCACCAAGACTTTCTTCAAACGTTTTACGGAAATCAGCACGGGCATCCATAATCTTAGCGGTTATTGCCGCAGTAGGGGTTAAAGGAACCGGGCGATGGTGTCCCATTTTATTGTTAAATTGTAATAGTTAAAATATTGAAAAATTTAAATTTCGGATTCAAGCATGCTTTATATGCATTTATAGCGCGGCCCGAACGTGCTACTTAATTACCCATATTTGGGGTTGTAAATGAACGTTACACTCAGCCAGCCGTATGCTAAATCATCGCACATTAACATTGTCAGCTACGGCTATGCCGCAAGTTATTTTATCTTCTAACGACAACGTTATCACGATGAGATAGCCGTATATAGTATATTTCACGTGATTACGTTGTTAGAGTGGACCAATAATATTTATTATTGGAACCTAAAAACAGAACTTGCGACCAGCAGAGATGGCCTCGCCATTTTGAAAGACACAAAGCTTAAATGCAAAGTTTCAAATGCAAAAATACTTTTTTTATATCATAGACCATATTTAGAGGTTAAATTTACATTGTAAAGGATCAATTTGTAAAAAAGCTTTCAACATGACATGACATAAAATTCAATCATTACAAATTTCCATTGATATCATATCTTGTGTTACGCAATTGCTGAGCCAAACGCAAGGCAGACTCCATGTTTCTTGCGTAGGGTATATAAAGATGAAATTTGACCTTTACTATTGCACGACTTTTTTTCAGACAAAATAAATAGTGAGAAAAGAACTTATATTAATTTGTCTTAATAGAGTTAGAAGCAAAGATTGGTTATTTATTTGTATGTTATACTGTGGCAAACGAGGCTTATACATAAACTTTGCTTCGTATGAATTTCACGCTGTGGCATCTGATTGTTTTTCTTTAACTTTCCAATTTGATTGACGATGCCTTCCTCGGATCGCCAAACCGCACTGGATCTGTATAAGTATGCAACCCTAAGTGCTTTCAAATTCTCTTTTTTTTTTTTTTTCTTTTTGATTTTCATAGAATCGACCTTCTAACGTCAACAATCTTTTTTCTTTTTTTCCTTGTAATATTCACCCATAAATTCTTGCCACATTGCTTTTTATATCCTTTTTCGCATTTACTCTATGACTATTGAATGATTCGTCAGATCTTCGGTAGAATTGGAAGCTGAGCTTCGCCAGCTTTCAAATCAAAAGCCACCCTTTGATAAACAAGTTGCAACTGTGCGCACCAAGCAAGTAGAAATGAACTTTTTTTATCTATGTTGGGTAGTCTATATTCATTTTGTTGATTTAAATAATTACGATTTGTTTATTCAGATTACGAGAACATTATGAAAGAATTATTTTTCTTGACTATGAATTTGCGCAGTCGAAAGAAGTTGAACAAAATCTGTGGAAATACGTGTATTATAAATTTATTGAAGAATTCAGGAAGAGAATTCGTACTGTGAGTAATATGTTGCGATGAACGTTACGTTGATAATTAGTGTTGGATTTTGTTGATATTCAGATCTTTATTTGATGCATTCATTCTATACTAGGCTGTTACCTCCGGTGGAAAGTCCAAGGGAATTCACCGCAAACTGACAAGTTCATTTCGCTCATTCTTACAAGAAGCAACAGGGTTTTATTATTCTTTTATTCAGAGACTTGCTGCTCATTTCGAGTTGAAGCAACTGGATCCTATCATCCAAAAGTTTGGGCTAACAATAGGTATCATTTTTGATCAATATATTTTTAGTGGAAATTTATAATATTGAATGTTCGTTTGTCTCTTCATTATTATTATTTTTTTTTAGAACCCACCAATGTTTCTCAACATTCTTATTCTGATGATATTAAGCAGAAAGCAGTACTTAGTTGTCATAAAAGTCTTATATTTCTCGGTGATTTAGGTATGTTGTATTAACATTATTTTGGTTTATATTTATCAATTTTGATCCAATTATTTTATTATAATAAAGCACGTTATCGGGAGTTGCAAACTGAGAAGCCACGTAAAAATTGGTCTATTGCGTGTGATTACTATAACCATGCAAGACATTTAGTCCCTGAAAGTGGTTAGTATTTTTAACAATGCTAAAAATGTTATAAATTAATTTATTGACCAGCATTTCGATTTTATGAACTTTTTAGGTAATCCACATAATCAATTAGCCGTAATCGCAACCTACAGTGCAGATGAATTTTCCGCTGTATACCATTATTATAGGAGTCTTGTTGTCAGATGTCCTTTTTTGACAGCCAAGGACAATATTAGCCTTTTGTTTCATAAGGCTAGAAAGTCTTCTGCTGATGCTCAAGAAAAAGGACAAGAGACCCCTCAAAGAGACCAGAAAGAAAATGGTAGTAGACGACGATTTTCTCATCAGCGTCAAGCATCGTCTGCAGTGCAATCAGCCAAAATTCGAACCGGTGAAGCTACACAGGCCTTTTTTTCTGATTTTATTCGTTTGCACAGCATTTTGTACTTTAGAACGGAGTGCGTATATATACTCATACTATTATTAATTGTTAACCAAACTTTAATAAGGTTATTGTTAAAATTCACATTAATTCATTTTTATAGTTTGGAATCGTATTCCGAGTTGAAAGTAGCTGTGCTGAATCAACTGAGAGAAAATGTTCTTTCTCTCGCATTGGATCCTGATCAACTCTTAAAATTTACGGCTATTAATATGGCAGCCTCATTCGTCATTCGACATATTGCAAATGGTTTGTTGTGTTTTACCACATTCTCATATTTACAAGTTAACAATTTTACAATTATAATCTTTTCTATAAATCATCCTATTAGGAGATAGTAACCATGTTAATCAAAGTCCGAAGGCCCCTATTTCGTATTCTACAGCCTCTAAAAAAGCCCTTGTAGAAAAATACGCCATATTATTAACTTTGGATTCACTTTCCACTTTACTGGATATGTGTAACTCTGAGTTGTTAGATGTTGTGGTTGAATACTCGGATCAAAGGCACAATGCAGTTCAAATTCTTCCGGCTCCTGTTAAAAGAAGTTTGATATCTCTTCGTGTGGGAACAAAATGGGTTTATTCTTCCCTTGAACATCTGTCATCAATAACCGCATTGATTGAAAAAGATCCTAATGTCAAGAATGAGTTCACAAACATCGCTATGTTTTGGCAACGGTTTGCTGAATTCCTTAATTCTTTGGAACGCTTGTTCCCTCATAGTCAAGGCATTCCTCTTGATGTTCCGCTAGCAGAAGATCTTGAATTGAACGGATTTTCAGGTTTAAAAAATCATACCTTTATGAATGAACAGATTTTGCTTAATCAAGGGGAGCCCTTTGAAGAATTAGACATGCGCATCTATGACATATTTGAAGATGCATGCAAGATTTCGGAATCAGAGGTTGGTTAGCTTATTAAAGCATTTTCTAACTATACGTTATTAATGCTCTTAAATTTTGATATTTTTAGCATTCCCAATTATTCTATGTTGATGGTGTATTTAGTTCAGGTGCACCACCTAACAAGGATGCATCTCCTGTTAATTCTTTGAGCCCCGTCCAAAATCAAGTTGCAGACCAATCTTATGTTGAGGACAAGGTCGAAGTTCCTATTAATGATTTAATCGCGGATCCTTACGAGACTAATTTAGCCGAGTCCCAGTCCTTTGCATCCAGTAGCCCCAAAAAACTAACTAATGATTCTTCTGAAGATGGTGATTCAGAAGATGAAGTGATCTTATTTACAGGAAGACATTCTTCTGTTATTGAGAACAATACGAAGTACGAATAAAGAAATTTTTATTTATGTCGGAATATGTATCTGAATATGATTTAAACTTATCAAACTTTTTAATTGCTTAGTGACTTGGCTAATTCAGAAAAATCCTCTCCACGTCCTACTACTGCTGAAGTCTTATTGACCCAAGTCTTAAAATCTAACAAATCAGTATCTTCAACATTACCAATTACCAATTCAACAAATCACTGGAATCAATTTAATACCACCCAATTATTTCCAAACAGCAATAACTTAAACGTCGAAAACGTTGAAACAAAGCAACAAAATTTTTTAGAGTTTTTATACCCCGTGACTAGGCCTTCAACTAATCTAAACGGCAACACTAGTGCATACTCTCAAACGGCATTCCCCGCGCATACCACTATTTCTGGAGTGCCAAATTCTTCACAGGATCCTCTTGTGCCTTCTACAAAACGTTTGTCCGGAGAATTTAATTCAATTACTCCACATCAACAGGCGACCGCTATTTCAAGCGCATCATTGTTTGCGTTTCCAGGCACTGATGGTGGTGTTTCTCAATTTGGTTTATTTGGCGATCCCAATACTAGCCTTCTTGGTTTTTCGGGAACGTCTGGACATACTTCTGCGAAATCTAGCTTATCAGCTATCAATCCACCGCCTGGGTTTTCATCTGAATCAAGTGCATTCGATTTACACAGGCATAATCAACAAAATAATCAATCTTTATTCCAACCATCTAATGTTTTTGGGTTCTCTTCTTTCGATATGAGCACCCAATTCCCATGGAAGCAAAGGGAATATGTAAATGGTTTGTCAGATGGTAATTTACAAGTGAATGGAACGGCTGGATTATCCGATCATTAGGAATGTTAAAAAGCTCAGCTTTGTAGGTTTTTGAGTCGACTTATTTTAAACTACTTAGAACCTAGGACCGGACTCAGAGACAACAAGAGAACCGGCTTCTAAATCACGTGGTATTTGTGTGACGCATACATCACATGACACATAAGTCAAATCACCAGAAAGTCTACAGACAGTGTTTAAGTCAAATGGGCACTGTCCATAACGAAAAGCACTGTCCGTAAACTTGGTGTCGTATGCAATCACATGATTTAACGACACGTTAGTTTACTTAAAATAGCGAAAGTTTTACAAATTATGATTATGAAATCTCGCCCCTCTATAAGATCATACAAATATTTTTTTTTTTTTGCTCTAATTTTATGTGCTGGCTGCCAACCGATTTTTTTATTTATTAAAAAATTTTATTAAAGTTTTTTTAAGACGTTGATATAACGACTCTAAAGCCATAAATACCAACAGCCTTTGTAATTTCCGGATAAAAATTTTTTTAGGCTCAGTTATAATCATAAAATACAACTTTTGAAACATTTTAGACAATCCCACGTCTGAGATGTAAAATTGAATTTTTTTTAATAATGCATCTCAGCATTTTTATAAAATATCACTAACCCTGCGCAATTGGGTAAAATCACCGCCCTTCGCTGGCCAATCAAATTTGAAGATCAGGTGTAACATAGTATGAACGTTCATTTTGTACGTAAAAAATCGCTTATAACCAAACTGCCTTCTACGTATTAATAAAAATTTTCTTTGTAAATTTTGCGTAAATAGTATTATTGAACCCTAATATAATAGCAAGATCCTAATCTAAATAGCATAAAATTTTTACAAGTTTGAAAATTTTTGGTTGGTGATTCTACTCGTCTCACAATTCTGATCAAAAGATTTTTGATAAATGTGCATAATCCTATTGCTATAGAGTTTTTACTTGTATGTACCTTTTGGAGGATCATACCGTATAAACTCAAATAACGCCCAGGGGTGTAATTTCAAATTTTGACCTAAATTAGGGCAAAATCCCTGTGCATTACTACGGTAATAATGAATAGTAATAGTAAAATCCAGAAAATCTTCATTCGCGTGTTATGGAGAATTCACGTATTACGCATCTCGAGAATCTGCAGAATGCCTATCAGTCGGTCAACGTTTCACGCAGATCACGGGAGTAAACCTTTTCATTATGATCCGCCACATTCATTATTTATTTAGCAATATTATTTGTCGCGGATTATCGTAAAATTTGGGTCTTAATTTGAAAATATAAGCCCAACCAAAATCCACCTATACTCTTTTATAAATAATTCTAACCTAAATCCTAACTTAACTATAAAAAAATTTTTTAGGGCCTTTTTTGTCGACTTTTTTAAAAATCACACATAATATTTCATGATAATTCGTGACATTATTTTATACTACAAGGGGTTTATTTAGTATAAGTTTTTTATTATAAAGTTTAAAAAGCAGTTAAAAATAAAATTAACTCGTAAAAAAAAAATAATAATAATACAACAGGTTGAAGCCCGTGTTGTCAATTAGTAAAATCCGCGTTGATCAACTAAATTAAGCAGAGTGGACAAACCTAAATTTGGTGATGATCGTCGGTGGCTTAGCCAATTTAATAAAAAAATTTTTTCAACCTTTTATACAGTTTAAAGTACTTCGTTTTCTCAT